TAGCAGATAGTTGGCGTAAGCAACCAATGACATCCGTGCAGTTTTTTTTTCATTTATTTATAAGCATTTTGTGGAACATTTGTTGTGGAATCTTTTAGATTAATTTTACTATTCTTATTTGAGACGATTTGTGACAGTTTTTTTTTCTTTTGTTAATGATATTGTTTAGAGATTTGATTTGTGATATGACTATGCTTAACGTGATATGTAATGTGGAATGTGTTTTTGTGTAGATGGTGGAAATGTAATTATGTTCTATTTTTTGTTATAGGTTTGAGTAGAATTTGCATTTGTTTTTAGACGTAAAATCTGACGCTACATCGACAATAACATGACATCATTCTATGACATTTTACGACACAAATGAGACGGTAATTTGACATTAATATTAATCATCTGTCATTTGCTGACAATAATTTCAAAGAACGTTTCGTATAAACAAATACAATGCTAAAACGACGCAAATTATTTGCATCAGAATATTTTGACGTAACTTGGATGGAAATAAAATTATCGACCCATGAATTAATGGTGGAAAAAATCAGACGCAAATTAGATGCAAATCTGACGATAATCCTTAATTATTGTCAGATTTACGTTCGATTTGCTTTTGATATGATTGATGCAAATATATTTAATTCATGTAGTGACTAGTTCAAATGAACCTGCCGATTTAGCCCCCACTTGGGAGCCCTGTGTCAGTCTAACGGGATTGGGTGAGCTTTAACCTCATTCATCAAAGCTTCTATCTACCCAATATCGATAATGGAGTTGTTGTAACCTCCTCGGATTGAAGGCTCTTTCACTATTGCCCAATATCAGATTTATGTTCGATTTGCTTCTGATATGACCGATGCAAATATATTTAATTCATGTAGTGACTAGTTCAAATGAACCTGCCGATTTATCCCCCACTTTGGAGCCCCGTGTCAGTCTAACGAAATTGTCTACCCAATATCGATAATGGAGTCATTGCAACCACCCAGGATTGAAGGCTCTTTCACTATTGTCCGTGAAGCAACTGCTTTCCATTAATGACTACACCATCCCTCAAGGCACTTAAGGATCTTACCCCACTTGCAAGCAAGCATTGGTATCAGTTTATTTTAGGAGCTTACTTTTGATCTGTCTTGGGCTTATATGTTACGCATATAATATTGAATCCTCCCAAAGTAACATAATATTGGTTCAACGTGATTTGAAGTGAATGTAACATGTTCCTCCTTGAATAGTGGTGGTCATGGCAGTAAGATATCGACCGTGATGTATTGAAATGCTCCTTGTTGTGACTGTCTCATGTCTGGAATCTGTGTCTTGGTCCTATCATCCTTTATGGTCACCAAAACTGATCCCACTGAAGTTACACTGCTGGTAAGAGCACCTGTGATCTCAGGCTCCCCAAAAATAGAAAAAGATGATGTTCTTCCTACCTAGGTAAAGAAGTTGGTGTTTTTAAATCAGTCATGATGAATCCGACAATCAAATACCACGGTCTCCCCAACAAATGGAAGCAGACATCCCTGGATACCACATAGCACCACACATGTTCCTACAACTGGCTTTCAATCAAAGACCTCATTAGGCATCTCCGATCAATGATGACCATGTTCTTCTTCTTCAGCCATGTTAGAGAATATGGCTGAAATGTTTTGATTCATGATGCCCAATTTCTACACCATCTACGTAGACGCCATGTTCTTGCTGCTCCTTCCATCGATTATGATACTAACCATTATGTTCACATTGCAACAAGTTTAGAATATGTTATGACAAAGACACTACAAATCCCTCATATCCTTAGTCTGTAAAACTGAGCCACGATTATCTCACCCTCATTCGGTGAAAGATGATACACCTCACTCATTTTTTCAACTACCTTCTTGTTGCTAACCTCCTCCAATGCATCCTACTCGGTAAAAAAAATAACTTGACTAGCAGATGATGTTGTGCTCAAATTCATAGCATCTAAAACATTTTTGGGCTAGGACTATAGTATGTTTGCTACTCTTCTCCAACTTCTTCTTACTCGAAGTGGCTCTATCATTATCCAAACCAATTTTCTCAACTCATTGAGGCATACTCCTATTGATGTCTTCCATTATGGGTAGTTGTCTAAATAGTAGTGGTTTCCTTCTTTGTTTATGCTGCTTCTTCACCTTCATGGCTAATGTGTGGACATCTCCCGGTGACTAGTAACATTATTGATAAAGGGCTTCAATCCCTAAAGATATCAAGTTGTGGAATGTTCTTTTAGCTCAACCAACTCACACATTATTTGCAACTTGTAAAACTATGTTGTGAAGTCCTTCACTGATAGATATCTCTGTTGTAAGTGGTAGATTCTTAAAAATGTATCTTAGTGGTAATGAGAAGGTAAGTATTTTCTCTGCATATCCCTACTCATCTTATCCCACCTAGTAATTATGTCACTGCCTTCTTTATTTCTCTACCACAACAAGTTTTCCTGCCACTATGAGGCACTCTTTCTCAATTTCATGGCTGAAAGCTTCACCCTCCTGTCTTCCGACACCTCTTTTTACTCAAAGATCCTCCCAACTTATTGTAGTCTTTCGATAATGTCGTCAAAATATCTACCTTCATCAAGCTCTGGTAGATCTACTTTGATCCCAAAATCTCTATGCTCTCATATGTAGCATCCTCTCTTGGCCTCCTCTAATACTGAATTCCAAATTGTCGGGGTCTTTCTTCCTCCTCATTGAATTCATCCCCATGGAAGTAATTCAGATCCTTGTCCTTTTCTCCCCTTAGACTCTCCATATCACGATTGAGAGTAATCTCCTTCTGAATTTCACCATCCATCTCTGCAAGCCTCTACTGAAGACGACGAAGCTCATATTATATCTCTTTCAAGGTAGGCTCAGGCCTATCTATATTTGGTAGCATGGTTATGGTTTGGGACTTGTGGGAGTGGAAAGGTTGGTATGAAAGAAAAATTTTTGGTGGAAATGGTTTCGGTATGGTGAATGCTAGAAAATCCAGTGTCGGGTTAGAGTTAGGCTAGCTCTGACACCAATTAGCATCAGATATAACCCAAACAACATCCAGACAATAAATATTATTGTTGAACTCAAATATACAATTAAACCCAAAGGGAAATACAACAATAAGCACAAGCAAGCACAACTAAATGTATCTGAAAAGTGGTGGTGAAGTGGTTTAAGGGACAAGATGAAAGGAAGTCAAGAAGGTGGTCGTGGGATGGTTGCAACTTAGGGTAGCTACTGTTTGAAGCAATATTGTTGCGGCAACAATCATAACAATGGGTTTTGGGCAGTTGGAGGGATTGATCGAAGAAGAGTGGTTAGTTGCAGTACGATGGAAGTGTGGTAGTAGAGAATAGTTGTTAATACCATAGAGGTGTTGCCAGAGACGAGGAAAGGGTGGGACAGCAAGAACAATTGACCAAAACCACAAAAATGGGGTGTGTGGGGGTTGGCAACGACAAGGAGAATGGTTTGGGGGCTGCAAAATACAACAGAGTTGTTGTCCTTGGGCTTAATGCTACTAGTACGACAAAGAAGACAGCAAAAGGGAGGTTGAGGAGGAGGGGAGAGTCGAGGATAAACACCATCTTGAAACGAGAAACAATCAGAGCGCTCTTGTCCTCAAATATGACTCTGGAAAGGAAAAGAGAATGCCAAAGACAACAAATAGAGTACCACTTGTCCTCAAATATGACTCTGGAAAGGAAAAGCAACCCAATCCCCTCATCATGGATTAGTCGGCCCCTATCCCCATCTCGGCTAAAACGGTTTAGCCCCCTCTAGGGAGCCCCACATCATATTATTTGTTGGACCAACATCATAGGGACTTTTTAGCAATAATATTCTACTTAAAATTCTTAAGTTTATTGTAACGGTGCAAAACTTATACTTGGGCGGCAACCCAATCCCCTCATCATGGATTAGTCGGCCCCTACCCCCATCTCGGCTAAAACAGTTTCGCCCCCTCTAGGGAGCCCCGCATCCGATTCTTTGTTTGACCAACATCATAGGGACTTTTTAGCAATAATTTTCTACTTAAAATTCTTAAGTTTATTGTAACGGTGCAAAACTTATATTTGCTTTAAATAGCCTCTAATTACCTAATTATTTCTCTACCATTTTCCTTAAGTTTTTCTTTTTATCTTATTTCATTTCTTTTTAGGAAATTTACACAAGTACCACACAAATTCATGGATTTACATATCTTACATCTAAAATTAAATATTAACACTTATAACATGTGAGTGCTATAAACGCATGCATGAAAAAAGTCCGTTGAACTGTTAAAAGTAACATTTCTAATTTTATTTTAATGATTAAGTGCTATGAATGTAAATATTAATGTTCGGTGTTATATATATATGTAAACACATAAGAATTGTGTCATGCATGTAAATGCTCCTTTTATTTTCTTAGCCACCCACTAAATGAGAAATTATTTTATACTGCAGAGATACATGTGGTGTCCGATCTCCACAGTAAATCACCGCAAACAAATTTTATTTAAAAAAAAAAAAAAGTTAAAAGTTGAAATCACCGCAAACAAATTTTATTTAAAAAAAAAAAGTTAAAAGTTAGGTCTACCGAAATATCTTACGGTGAACGACGGTGGAAATTGGACACCGCATGCATCCGCATGAAATAATTTTTCCTGCTAAACAAGGCTTATTCGCATGTAAACGAGAATCGAACCTACAGTAGCTACCCTTTCTTAACCTCTTGTTGTGCGCTCTATATTTGCCAAAAAATATTATTTAATTATTTATTTGATTAATTGATGCGTTTTTCTTAAATTTTAAGAACAATTCCTTCATAATCATCAAGATACATCACATTTTTAAACCACGAAAAGTGAAAGCATTGGTTTTATTATAATTTAAACACCATTCATCTCTTATAAGTTATTTTTTATCCATATGATGTGTTTACTCTAAAAACATAAATCAAATGATTAGACAACAACTTTATAACATTAATAATAGCAAACATTGGACCAATAAAATTTCATAATATCTCAATTATAAAGCCTCCAACTAACAACAAGCACTCGGTGCACGCACAATAAATACATAAAGAACACAACAAAAAATAAACAATTCAGAATTTTTCAGAACACAATTTCTAACTTCCAAATGCGCCCTAAAACTAAAACAGGTATGAATACCAATCAAACCAAACTGAGATTTAATATTAATACCACAAGCATGTGGCCTCCAACTCCAAAATAATTGCTCGGTGAATGCAAATATAAACTAACAGAGCAAGGCTATCACATCTGATTCCGACTTCCTCTTCTTCATTCCTATTTACAACGTACTCCCTTACAAACAGCCCCTGTACTCTTCTGCAAATACCAACACCAGGATAAAGAGAGGGGGAATATGTAAATGGAATTCATTTACAACTCATCAGCACGGAATTTAGGACATGCATTATTAGCCGAATGCTTGATGCTTCCGTTGGCGTCATCGAAGCGAGCGATCTCTGGTGTGCGAGTATGTTGTAAACCTGCTCAAATATGGGTCGTACGTGTAATGTGATGATCGGGTCTGATGGATTGATGGCAGCAGCTACATCAGTCATCCATCCCAACTTCCTCGCAGTATCATTGCTAATGTCGCATGCCAGCTGCTGCAGAAGTGCGAGGAGCACGCCTTGGTTCAGAGGAAGTGGCATCATAGAACATATTCTGTGCAAATCAACCTAAATAAAAGTGAAAATTCATTGAAGTTGTAGAGCTGAAGATAATTTGCGCATTTCAGAGACTGATTTCAGGTAAAGAATGCAAAATACAGACTTGAGAGCATAGCCAGGACACAATGGAGACATCACTCCTTTGGAGAGCTACAGTGAATGCTTCGTCATATTTGAATTCAGAAATCAGTCTTGACAATTCTTTTGTGGGGTCGAGAGGCGCCTCGACTTGCTGAACAGACAGAGCAAGCTAGAAGCAAGTGTATATAAACATCACCCAATAGAGCAAAAATATCAAGGAATGAAAGATTTGAAAGAAACAGAAACAGAGAATTGTAAGGGAATATTTTGCATCTTACCATTTCTGGGAGGTTGACCATTGGACTATTGCTTTGCTGCACTACCATTGGATTTAAGGACTTCGCATTTCCAGAAGCAAGAGCTAAAAGCTTGCGCTGCCCATCTGCCAACTCGCTTGTTAAGTTTTGGGTAACAGATGAAGCAGAATTAATTGCATCCTGTAAGCTCAAAATAATAAGTGTTAGCATAAGAAATTAGTTTTGAAGCTATGGATACAAATTTTCACAATATGAGGCCAAATAAGCGCAATCTCAATCCCATTTTTTCTATGAAATGTGCTACAAATATTTAATGAATGAAAGCATAACTATGACACAATTTGTCAGCGCTAATGGCTGGCACCGAGCTTTTAAAGAGCTGCAAAGAAAAACGAAAGGTTTCATAATACTTTTACAAAATGAAATGTACTAATAATTGATAAATGTGCAACAAATTCATTAATTATTGATCTCCAAAATTTTATGTTATATCAAAGAACTTCAGGGCATAGAAGTTGGTTTCAGATGAATTGCTGCATAAAGCAAACCATAGGAAACAGGATTTACACTTTCAATCTTCATCAAATAGAAAGAGTAAAACTATTTATGACAAGGTTCAAACTACAGAGAGAGTAGAAAAAAGGTAGTTACCCTTAAAGTAAGCGCCAATGGCGTATGTGTGGATTCAAACTGCTGCAATGCAGCAGAATTATGTTCACTCATACCCTTGTGAAAGGCAGCATCGACTTGCTCAAACATTGATTTACATGATTGTTCAAATGCAGGAATTAAAGAGGATTCCAAGCTGGAACGTAAAGCATCCTACATGGGTAAAATTGCAATGTAATTACTCTAGGTATTCAACAGAAAATTAGGAATATCCACTAAAAGCATGTCAAAATTGGATTTTATGCTAAGAGCACAATTAATGTACACCTCAGCAAACAAATCCAACGAAAGTATATAAAGGCCCGGGGTGCAATCAAATTCACAAAAACCAACTAAACAACAGGTTAATAAAAAGTAAAAAAAAAAAAAAATTCTTGATGGATCTTCAAATTCATCCGGGCCGATTTGGAACACAAGTAAAACATAATATTCTATTTGCATTTTTTTTTATTTTTTTTTCTGGGAAAAGTGAGGGCAATAATATTCTCTTTGCATAACTTCTCAAACCTGAAGGGCTTGTTTGCCTGCTGTCTGGAACTGTACTTGAATTTGTTTTGTTACTGTCGTATCAAGTTTAGAACTCACAGATTTTTCCAGCTGGTTCACTGCTTTGTCACCCAGACCTCTCTAAGAACAGGATGATCGATTAGAAAACAATTGAAACTACTGAATTAAAAGTTTAAAAGATATTTTGTGGATGGTTGAACCTGGAGCGAATCAACTATAGTTGAAGAAATTGTTTTTTCAAGTATAGGAGTAATTGAACGAGTTATTGATGTCCCAATCGAAGGTATCTCCTTCTTTAGCATCCTTTCAAAAACAGCAGGCAAGTCTTTGTTGATAAAATTTGAGATCAAACTTGTAATATGCTGCAAATTATCTCTTTCAGCCTTCTCACGTTTTGCATTTTCTTCAAGAAAACGAGCCCACAAGGCATCAACATTAGCCTTCACATTTTTCTCCATGCTCCGGCCCAAAGCTGTCTCAACTCTTTTTCCCTCTTTTGCGATCGGGCCACCCACTGCTGTGCTAATCTGCTTATTTATCTCCTTCTGCATAGATAAAATCTGCAGGCAAAAAATTAAAAATTTTTAGTAAGGAATTAAAAATTGAGAGCTTGAGATTTCAACTTACCATTAATAAGATATATGATGTGAAACTCCAAGCATCGCATGACCAATATAGGATGTGTTGAAATTCAAAATAATGTAGAATTAAGCAAAATTTATTTCATTGATAAAAAAGGAGGTAAAAATAACCCTTACATAAATCCTAGAAATATCACCTAATATCTTCAGGTAATCAATTCATATTAATTATCTGGAGATAAAGGAGATAATATAAAATAGAAAAACATAAAATAAGAAAAAAAAATAACTCATAATCCAAGTAAATAAACATAAAATAGGAAAGAAAATAAAATTATACAAGGAAATAAATTTAATCCTCATAGCCTTTATAGGAATAAATTATTTCCTAACATAACTTATAATACTCCCCCTCAAGTTGAAACATGACTGAAAAACATATTCAACTTGGATTTGAAAACATCAAACAATAACGAAGAAGATCCTGTGAGGCATAGATTAAAGTCTTCATCTCGTACTGTTGTTGTCTTTCACTGTAGTTCCTATAGTGTATGTAAGTAGGCGAAAAACTTCTACAGGCTTATGTTGACTTCTAGTTAACTGCAGTTGTCTTTAACTACAGTTCCTACAGTGTATGTAGGTAGACGGAAGGCTCCTACAGGTAATACTGCAAGAGAATTGCAGAAAAGTTGACAACTGTGATTGTCTTTGACTGCAGTATCTGTAGATAGACGGAAAGCTCCTATAAATAATACTGCAGGGAAATTTGCAGGGAAGTGGACATCTGTGATTGTCTTTGACTGCAGTTCATGCAGTGTCTGTAGTTAAGCGAAAGACTCCTACAAGTAATATTGCATTAGAGTTTGCAGGAAAGTAGACAACCAACAGGAAAAGCTGCACAGTATGGCCTGCAGAAAAAGAAAAGGCTTGAAAAAGAAGGATGAGAGAAGGGTCTAATGCAGGAAAAGAGTTTCGGAAGAGTGATTGATGTAGGAACGCTCCAGAGGAGGGCTGCAGCAGGGATATAAACTCCGAAGAAAGGATATGCACCGAGGATACTTCCGACTGCAGAGAGAATTTTGGTGGCAGAGAAGGACATGCATGAAGTTTTTTGGGCCAAGGGAAGAAATGATGGAGCCCTCACCACCATACCAATGCACAAAGGCAAGCTTCGAATACATAAGATCAAATTTATGATCGATGCAAGAGAACACCTCTACTACAATGCTAGTGGAGTTAGATATCATGCAAACCGCCCTCTGCAACTTGGCAAAGTCACCACCAGGAAGTATAGTAGGCGGCTGGTAATTAATGCTACACTGAAAGCCAGTCGGTCACCAATCAACAAACTGGATTGTGTGCTTAGTCTTAATGGTGGCAACAACAACATTCACATCCTAATCACCACATCTCCTCAATAAATGAGACAACAAACCATGTACTTGCCATGGTGGGGATCACACTTGGCCATCATGGAGGATGGCTTAAAGGCATTGTTGGTGATTTCCGAAAAGAGTTGCTCATGATAGGCCTTCTCAGCTGAGATAACAGGAGCTTAGCATGAAAGCGTGAAATAGATCTGTGGGTATGGAACAAGGATTAGGTATGGAACAAGGCTAATCCGGAACTCAGTCACAGCCACAACCACAACCACGTTCATTGCGCCATCAAACCTAAGGGAGGCGGTGAGGATGAAATCACCTAGAAAGCCAGCCAATTAAAGTTGGTGTATGTAGGGCACTCAATGTCAAGAGAACGCCTGCAAATGTCATAGATAGCTTCATTATCTAGGAGGAAGACAACATTGGTGTGCTCTAGAAGGGAGAGCAATTGATGTGGACACATGGGGCAATGGGTAAATAGTAAAACCAAGCTTTGATTTTTTGTCATAATCAATAGATAGTCTCTCAAGGAGAAGGGAACCAAGACCAAAACCAATCCCTCCACCAACGGCAGAAAATCAGGAAAGCCAAACTGCTGAGAACCAAGAAGTCGGACAACTGAAAATCTAGATAACTGCAGAAAATCAGAGAAGCCGAACTGTTGGAAACCGGGAAGCCGAAGTGTTGCATGGATTACGCGTCAAAAAACAGCGGGAATGACCAACAAAAAAAAAGGCAGAGAAGACCGACGGCTATGCATGCAAGAAAGGTGGATGACTGTTTGCAGGGGAGACTGGCGGTTGTGTTGGAAATCGGGAAGAACTGGCCGAACGCGGAGCAGGCCAATGGCTGGGAAAAGTAGCTAGAGTGGGCAGCTACCAGGAAAAGTTGTGGGAGGATTTGCAGGGAGAAAAGAACAAAAATTTATTATTTCAAATACCAAAATGAGTGCCCCTCTTCCCGCGCGGAGAATTGCAGGGAATCTAGTAGTTCTGGAAGGAGGGTCAGTGATTAGGGTATAAATTTAGGATTTGATGCCATGTTGAGATTCAGAATAATATGGAATTAGGCAGAATTTATTTCAATGATATATTAAGGATTAGGATTTGATGCCATGTTGAGATTCAGAATAATACGGAATTAGGCAGAATTTATTTCAATGATATATTAAGGAGTATAAATAACCCTTACATGAATCCTAAAATAGGAAAGATAATAAAAGAGAAACAATATGAAAAGAAAGATATATCACCTAATATCTCCAATTAATAAATTCATATTAATTATTTGGAGATAAAAGAAATAACATAAAATAGGAAACTCTAAAATAGGAAAAAAAAAACTTCTAATCCAAGAAAATAAATATAAAATAGAAAAGAAAATAAAATCATATTAGGAATTAAATTTAATCCTCATAACTTTTAACGAGAATAAATTATTTTCTAATATAATTTCTAATAGGATGTAATAGATTTCAAATACAAAAAGGTAGGATAACTATCAAATATTTTGGTGAAAGTTTCATAATGATGATTATTCTATTAAGATATAAGTATAGATGAATTGAGTTCATACGCCCATATGCAAGTACGAGCATGAGTGGGTGGAAGTTTCATTTAAAAAATATCATGGATAATTTGATTGTGGGGTTAAACTTTAAAGTAGTCGTTGGTTATTCGTATATGCCCAATTTAAATCAAAATATTACATTTATCCAATTCAATCCAACTATACACAATTGAGACAAGATGGTCTTCTAGAAACTAAATTGGGATCAAGTTTGCATAGTTGACGTACCAAGATAGCATCAATTCTTCATCATAACTTCAACATGAGAGGCAAGTACAGATAAATATTGTTTAGTCAAGAAATTACGTTAGAAAAATGTAATATAATTATTGGACACACAAAACATATAAGGGGACCATTTTGGGATTCAATCTCTAATTAAGCTAAGAAAATTTCAATTAGCAAAAAAATAAAATATGTTGAAATAAATTTAATAATCCATAAGTATAGAAACATAATTAAGCTCTCACATTAGTAAATCAACTCATATTTATGCAATATTGGAACATAATGTTTGCTTAAAGAAATGAGCTTAAGCTAAAATGTAACCAAAGAATTTTCATCTTCAACAAAAAAATGATTTAAGCCCATCTAAGCCTTGTTGCATATTAGAAAATTCTCAACAATAGAGAAATCTTATATCTTACCTCAATATAATTTTCTAGAACTCACACAAATATACATGTAAGAGACAACCAAATTTTTTACGTGAAAAAATCCTATAAAGGGAAAAAACCAAGGGGCAAGCCTAGTCAAAATAATCCACACTATGAAATTAAAAATACATAAGACACTCTTATCTTGAAGTAGGGAAGATGAAATTACAAAAACCAAATATCACAACTTTATAGTAAACGTTTGACTACAACAACCATAATTGTGCTATAAAAATTGTAGTTGGTAGCTAATAGCAATAGTAAGGTTATCACAATTGTAGTTGGCCACAAAAATTGTCGGTGGTTGTTGACAACGACTTGTGGTCTTTTACCAACACTTCTCTTCTAGAGTAATGCTTCAATTATCAATTCAATATTGTCTTCTCCTCCCACCTCAAGTGAAAAATGATAGCAAATTTATAATTTTTTAGCCTGCAATTCTCTTCTAGAGTAATGCTTTAATTATTATTTCACTATTCTCTTCTCCTCCCCCTCAAGTGAAAAATGATGGCAAATTTATAATTTTAAAAAGGCGTTTCAATAAATTTAGCCAGGATCTCAAAATGCTCCATCAGATTGTCCACATCAATTACCTTGATCACATATATATATATATATATATATATATATATATATCATTTAAATGTTCTAACGACCTCAAAAATAGATGATTTAGGCTCGCAGGATTCCTCTCATCGAGCAACTCAATTCGACTATAAGCTTCAAAGCTATGAGATTCGTGCTTGATGATAAAAATTTTTTGATGACACATCTAGGCTTAAAGCCATTGTCCCCTAACTTAGTTTGGCTTTGCAGAACATCTCTCAAGTTCAATCAAACAGCCTCTAAATATGTAGGACTACTAGGATAGGTTTCAAAAGTTATTCAAAAGATTATGTTCAGATGAAAAATGATACTGATTTTGAATTTATTGATCAACTTAGGAAAAATATTATGTAGGTAACAAATACTTTATTACAATGAGACAACAACTGAAACTTTACAATATATGCTGACTATCCTCCTATTGCCTCAACTGCTTAATTCCTTTGTGACTTTCAAATTTAAAAAGAAAAAAAAAATTGCCTATAAGTCCACAGCTTATCAAGCATGCACCAATGCCACCATTACATTAAATCGAGTTGGAACTAATTGAGGAAATTCCTAAAACTCAATTTAACCTAGACTTAGAAAAAGATTATTAGATCAAGAAAATTTTGCCACATTCTTTAGCTTTGCCTAAGACCCACATCTAATTTTTCCTTGAGCACAACCTGAACATGAGTTTCACATTGTTCCACAACATAATATATTTTAAGAAATACATTAAGCTAAACTAAAAATTAGTTTTAATAACTACAGCTAAAAAGTG